CCGTGACTTTAACTACTATATCAAAAACATATGTGTATCCTCCAGCTGTCAGACAGATTTTGAAAACAGCCACAAAACATTTTGGCTTTGCATGCATTATAATTTGCTGTTTGAGGTTGATTGCTTATTTTGCCTATTTCTAGTGCACTATTGTTTTATTGTTCGACACATCCTGCTCCCTCTTCTGCCTCCCCTTGAGTATCATCAAAGTTTCATCCAACCAAAAAAAACTGCCCTCGGTTGGATAGCTTATTTTGAACACATATCAGGTTAGTGAGTAGAGTCAGGTACTTTCCACTGTCTGTCATTTAAGATCAAGGGTAGATGCTGAGAAAAGAGGAAGTGCTTTTAAAGGTGAAAGACAACACAAAGACGGTGTAAATGCAGGAAGCAATGTGTGTGCTATTCGACTACTTGTATGTGTCTTAATCTTTCAATTCTGTCCATTCAACTAAAGCTGCATTAAGCAATACCTTCTATAGCGAGACTGAATCGAATGACTTTCTGTAACGTGCAGTCTGCAGCGTGCAGACTCATCAAAGTAATACTTTTAGTTCACAGGCCTAAGTGAAACCTGACAAATGCATGAACTCTCACTACAGGAAGTGAACAATTGACTCACACAAAAGTTGTACACTTCCTGTTCAGCGTAAAATGGCGGAAAGGTGAAGTGGCTGAAGAAACGTCGCGCATTTAGAAAATCCAATGACATCGAGATATTTCTCTCAGGAGCTGAATTGAATTTACATTCAACATGTGGCCAAAAAGATGACTGCGAGTCCAGATTCCTCTGTTTCTGCTGAATGTGTAAGTAGTCAGTTGTTTGCTTAAAAGTTAGTTAAGAGTCAGAGTCTTTATGCCTCGTACTGTAATGGTAATTCATTGCTTAATGCAGCTTTAAGTTCATTTAGAGGTTTAACCAATTCATATTAAGACCATGTGTTCTCATCAAAGATATTCAAACTGGTGCACTCATTTTTAATTAATGATAAATAAACATTCATCTTGGTAAATCCATACCATTATTTTTGTTTTGTGTGCACAGTTTTTAAACCATGTGAGCTAATTTATTATTTATGTGTCGATAATGTATATATTTTCAAAGCTACCGGTTGTTTTTTACATAGCAAGTTTACACTGATTTCAACAACTTGGCTTAAATTGTTGAATTTAGTTGCTTACTGCTTTTATTAATTTTGTTCGAATGTTTTCTGTATTTTATGTTTCCTGCAATTATTAAGATTTATGGATGAAATGCTATAAACAGAAATGTCTTTTTTGTCTTTCCAATCAAGTCATATCACTCTTCTTTTTTCAAACTTTTGTCCCAACATTAAATGTCACTTGTTTAGACGCTTTTATCCGAAGCGACTTACATACTCAATACTGTGGACAATCCCCGCAGGAGCAATTTGGGGTGAAGTGTCTTCAGGGACACAACGACATGCTGACTGCAGTGGGGTTTGAACCTGTGCTCCCCTGATCCCAACACCAACACACTATTCCACTGCGCCACACGCCTCCCAACATCTTTTCACACTTGCAACTTCTCTGCTATTTATTAGAACATGTATACATTTTTACACCGTTAAAACACAAGTTAAGGAGACCTACTGTATAGTATCTACTGCAATCGCTGTAAAAAAGTGCAGAGGTGTTCGTTAAAAACACACAGCTAAAGGTCAACAGTGTCAACTATATGGTAAATGGACTGTACTTATATAGCGCTTTATCCAGTCTTTAAGACCCCTCAAAGCGCTTTACATACTTTACTACATGTCATTCACCCATTCACACCCATTCATACGGAGCAGTGTACCTTACTCTAGGACCTAACATTCACACACATTCACACACCGTTGGCCATCGGGAGAAACTCAGGGTTAAGTATCTTGCCCAAGGATACATCGACATGTTGACTGCACGGGCTGGGATCGAACCGACAACCTTCTGGTTGAAAGGCGAGCGCACTCCCTCACAGCCACAGTCGCCCAATATGCAGACTTTAGACATTAAAACACAGCTGTATTCAAGAGGTTTACCCTGCTTTCATTATATTGGTTGATTCAGTAGCAAACAAATTATACATGCACATGGCTATTTGCAACTATTGAACAAAAGGGCAAACGTCAGTACAAAATATACAGTTGTATCCAGTGCTGTGTTCTGGGACTAAAAACATCCGCATATGTATCTAAATGTTGCGCCTGTTTAACAATACAGTGTTAAAAGCGTGTGTTGGTGTCGTTAAGTTTATCCCGAGGCCCTTTTCGCAACCTTTTGTGTTCTCTGCCTTTTTACAGGCCTTCTCACCTGCTCATTACAGCCTTTGTGGGCTTGTTAGCGCAGCTACCGTTAGCGCAGCCTTTGAGCTTGACTTTCATCCCGGCTCTGCGCTTTCTATTACATCAATACAATCTGTCATCGACACACAGAAGAAAATCCTGCTGGCCTTTCAGAGCGGACACACGATCAGAGTTTAGCATCATGAAAGCTAGTGAGCTAAAGGATAAACCATTGAATTAGAGACAGGAGATTGTTAGAGTGCATAATCAAACAACATTTCCGTTTGAAAAGTATGACATCTTGAAAGCTTTTTTAGATTTTCAAAGATTATTATTTCTAAGATGAATTAACTTTATATTTAATTTCAGGATAATTTAAGAGTTTCTCCCACATGAATCATTAGCCCTGATAACTACACTCCCCATCTCATCTCATAAGAGTGTGTGTTTGTGTGTGTGTTAATGGGAGCTGCTGGGCGTACCTGCTCTGCATTGTACTAACAAGGGCAGACTATTAGGTATGCGCTTGTACTGCAGTAGCTCTTTGATTCGGTGTGTTTGCACAAGTTTTATGTGTGTGTAAGGCCTGTAAATGTGTGTGTGTGTACGGTTATTATTCCTTTGATGAGTCCAGACGAGGGCCAGCAGCAGTTTTCTCAGACCTAGACTGTGCTCCGTCTGTTTCCCAGGAGATGGCGACCTCTGACCCCTGTGCAAACGCACCCCCCACCCCACCTGAGGACTCTGCGCCCTCCCCCTCGCCTCGCAAGAAGCGCGGGCGTCGGAAACTAGAGCAAACCGAGAAGAATAAGGGTATAGATTTAATACAAAGTCATATCATTCCTAAAATAATATGGTTTTGCCCGTTTATGCAGTAATCAAGATGTCCATTTTTTTTCAACAGCTAAGGATATGAAAAGTTACAAACATGAAGTGTCTTCTTTATACGAAGTAATGTCTTCAAGAGGACTTTACGTGACATTTTAATAGTGTAAATAACTTCCAGATTGCAGTGTTTGAGGGCATTTTCGACTTTAAATATGGATGCCGGGACAAAGTGATGAAAACCATGACTCCTCATTAAACCTCTTGTTAAATCTGTACAAATGGGCCATTTCCTGTATAGTTCCTCCTCCTGCAGACGAGCCAGACGACAGAAACTGCGACTCCCCCGGAGAGGTAAGAAAACTACTTTGCTTACAAAAAAAAAAGATTATTATATTATAGTATAAGCTGAATTAAAAGAATGCATATAACAAGTGTGTGTGTGTGTGTGTGTGTGTGTGTGTGTGTGTGTGTGTGTGTGTGTGTGTGTGTGTGTGTGTGTGTGTGTGTGTGTGTGTGTGTGTGTGTGTGTGTGTGTGTGTGTGTGTGTGTGTGTGTGTGTGTGTGTGTGTGTGTGTAGGTTGAGGCTGGCAGGCTGCGGAGGAGGCCGGTCCCCAGAGTGACTTTCCAGGCTGGAGATCCGTACTACATCAGCAGGAGACAGAAAGAAGAATTGCTGAGCCGCTGGAAGATGGAGGTGGGAAAGAAACATGTCTCTGTCAATTAATACGACAGGAACAAGGAGGCTTTTTTGTTCCTGGAAGCCAAATAAGAATGAAACGCCTCAAGTTAACACCTAAATCATAATAAACTGGGCTTGATTGAAAAGGATGATGGAGGCTACATGTTAATATCTTTGTTTACCTCACTGACTAGCTTTTCAGTTGGATCCATAGCTGCATATTGTTAAACATCCAAAATGCAGTATAGGTCAAATAACAGGGATTTACAACAGATGCTTCGTATTGGGTGATATCTTTAAAAAATGTGTTAAAAAACTTGATATATCTTGGTTTTTTTGTGTTAAATGTTCTTTTTACTCCAATAAAAAGAAAGAGGGGATCATACAAATTAATTCCCGGAGATGTTTTGTACTATTTATACACTTATGTATACTATAATGTAATTGATATTGCAATACACTACTGTGCTGCAACATGTTAACATGGAAATTGAATGTGTTTGAGTTCATATCTGTAGATGCAAGAAAGTGTGTGTATGAAGAAAAACGTGAAAGTGAAACGAGTGAGAGAGACAGGATGTGTGTGTGGTCACGAGAGAGAAAGTCATTCAGGTTGATTGACAGGCAGTGCTGGCTAGAACACATTGATATGAAGGAGTGTGTGAAGTAGGTTATGAGTGTGTGAGAGGAAGAGACCTGGTATGAACTTGTCCTGTTTCAATGTGTGTTGTTGGATGGTCATAAATATTATCTTAATGAACAAAAATGCAGTTTAGTTATCACTATAGTGTCCGGATTACTAAACCCATTACTTCTCAGCCTTGAGTTTATTAAAAATGGACAGTATACTTGTATTTTTCTTTGATTAATCGTCAACAACAGCTTCTCACAAGTTATGAGGGCTTATTGAAGATGATGGTTAAAAAACGCGAATCTTTCAAACACAATAAGTGTGTGTGTGTGTGTGTGTGTGTGTGTGTGTGTGTGTGTGTGGCCTAGCATTACTATACTTGTGGGGACCTACATCTGTTTACACAGTCACGTGTGGGGACTCGCCTCCCTTATGGGGACAAAATGGAGGTCCCCATGAGGGGAATCATTAGTTTTAGGGTGAAGACTTGATTAGGGTTAGGGTAAGGTTAAGGTTAAGGGTTAGGCATGTGTTGGTTATGGTTAAGGTTAGGATAAGTCTCCAGGAAATGCATGTAAGTCAATGTAATGTCCCCTGAAGTGATGTATACATGGGTGTGTGTGTGTGTGTGTGTGTGTGTGTGTGTGTGTGTGTGTGTGTGTGTGTGTGTGTGTGGTGTGTGTGTGTGTGTGTGTGTGTGTGTGTGTGTGTGTGTGTGTGTGTGTGTGTGTGTGTGTGTGTGTGTGTGTGTGTGTGTGTGTGTGTGTGTGTGTGTGTGTGTGTGGTGTGTGTGTGTGTGTGTGCGTGTGCGTGTGCGTGTGTGTGGATTCAGTGACAGAGGTTAACCAGCTCCAGGTTTGTGCCTGAGTGTGTGTGTGTTTGCTCCGTCAGTTGAATTGCAGCCAGCTGTTAACATCAGCATCCCATCTCTCCGCTGCCTGAAGCAAATCTGCTCACCTCTGTAAAGCCTTCTCCAATTTTGGGATTTAAAAAAAAGATCTGGCATCTTTGCACTTCAGGTCTTAAGTTACAGCCAAGAATATATACTGGGGAGTACTGACGGTGCAGTGGGTATATTAGGGGGGTCTTTTATTTCTCCCTCACAAAGAAAAACACTGACTTAACCTAATTTTGCACTGATTTAATTTAGCAAGTCACACACTACACACACACACTGCACACACACTCATCTGTGACCTTGTTTTCACCTCTAACCACACGTCGTAAAGTGCAGAACCGCAGTGTTAGTCTCTGAAAAAAATCTCTGAATGTTTCTTACATTAGATCTGATAAATGACAAACCAAAGAATCACTAGCAACGGACCCTTTAACAAATATGATTACATTGAGTGTTTTTCACCAAAATACATCTTTTGTATCCTTGTTAAAAGGGTTCTATTAACTTATATGGGTTTTCCATTTCCTGTTATATAGGTTTTTGTGCATGTAAATGTCTGCAAAGGCTAAAATCCCCCTTCCTGAAACGCCTCACCAGTGTGACATAGTGACATCACTATGTAACACTGACGTTTCTATTGGCTAGCGCTCCAACACATTGTATGTGATAGGCTAAGGGGCGGGGCATCTCTAAGTGGTTGACCAATCACAACAGAGCTGAACAGCTAACCAATCAGAGCAGACTGGGCTCTGGTTTCAGACAGAGGGTGAAAAGAGGTGCAGCAGCACAGGCAGTATGAGACAAAGAAAGAGCTTTTTGAACATTAAAGCATGGAGACATGTAGAGACACTACATACTGATATGACCCTGAACATTATCATTATTTCATTTTAAAGTATCACGGTTATCCTTCAATACCAATATACACTCAGTCATCTTTAGTTTCTTCTTCTTTCTGTTACTCTAAACCAGTGGTTCTCAACTGGTGGTGGGTCGCGGACCCGTTTCAAGTGGGTCGCGGACCCGTTTCAAGTGGGTCGCGGACCCGTTTCAAGTGGGTCGCGGACCCGTTTCAAGTGGGTCGCGGACCCGTTTCAAGTGGGTCGCGGACTTGTTTCAAGTGGGTCGCGGATGTGTGAGTGAAGACATTTTTTTTGGAAATGTTTTTTTTTTTGGGGAAAAAGTCAAACTTTTATTTTGAAGGCCCAATTTTCTAACGCTGTGCATGCAGTCGGCGTTGGACTGGAAGTAACGGAGACCATAAACGGTTTTGAAAACTTCTTTCACGTAGTGATCATCTTCTCAATAAAATATTTTTGCTGATGTTTTTTCGAGTCTTCTGGCCAATCAGAATCAAGATTGTTGCCGGAAGTCCCCGGAGAATAACTTAGCGGTAGAACTCTTCTTTATACATCCATGGGTACAACTTCAGATAAAAAATAACACATAATGAAATATGACCCCCGGTCTGATGAGTGACAGGTCACAGAACAATGGGAGCTATCTACCCTTACCCACAATTTAAAGTAAGTCACACAGACTATCTCCTCTTTGCTCTTCTGCAAGCTGTCAGAACAAAGTGAAAAACAAACAATGGCATAAAATATTATTAATATGTCGGGTAGTAATAGATTTATTTATTTTCTTCTCAGAGTACCAGAATGCATAGTTTATGTTAGTATTTCTAAAAATCTCCTGGGGGAGAATCCCCCCAGACCCCCCTGCTGGGGTTGGGTTTTCAGCATGTGTGCCTTTTTATATAGTTCAGCTTTGATTTCATAATTTCATTAAACCTTTTTTAAAAGCATACTTTAGTTCTGTGAAGGGATATAAGGGATATATGCACTGTACTTCACTTTTATTAATATTGTATGCTGAAAAGCGTATATATTACAGCACGATTTTTTGTTGAATAGATTTGAGTGCTTCAAAATGTTGAGTCGCGATGTATTGACCAAGTAAAAAGTGGGTCCCGAGGCCTGACCAGTTGAGAACCACTGCTCTAAACTATCTCACGGGACAGTAGTGTGTACCTCTTTGTATGCACGTCTGTGTGTGTATGCGAGGTCTTGACCCCAACACATCCTATCGCCTTGTCAACTCTGAGGCTTACATAACCTTTGACCTCAGTGCACGTACACACCCCTTTGACACACACATGTAAACATTAGCCTGGATTTGTGTGTGTGTCATCATTACCCTTAAACCCCCGAGGCTACCAGGTGTGTGTGTGTGTGTGTGTGTGTGTGTGTGTGTGTGTGTGTGTGTGTGTGTGTGTGTGTGTGTGTGTGTGTGTGTGTGTGTGTGTGTGTGTGTGTGTGTGTGTGTGTGTGTGTGTGTGTGTGTGTGTGTGTGTGTGTGTGTGTGTGTGTGTGTGTGTGTGTGTGTGTGTGTGTGTGTGTGTGTGTGTGTGTGTGTGTGTGTGTGTGTGTGTGTGTTAGGTGAAGGAGCCAGTAAATCACACACTTCACTGCTGTGGCCAATCAGCTGAGAGGGAGAGGGTGAAGAAAGCTCAAGGGTGAATTTAGCGGAGGAGACACACACACACAGAGGAAGAGTAAGAGGATGTGAGAGAAAGAGAGACAGACGAAGAAAATGACTGAGAGAAAGAGAGCTAGGGAGGAAGGGCTGCAGAGCTACCATGTCCGGCCTGTAAGTTTATTTTTCTATTTTATGTGAAGCAGAGAATGAAATGGAGTGTGTGAGGTGAGGTTGTTTTTTAAAAGAGGAAGTATTGCAATATGTTTCTACTATCAATAATTGATTTTCATGGCAAGGTTGTTGAATTACGTTTTTTCTGGGTTTGTGGGGGCATCATGCAAGTGCTTGAACAAATGGGAGATATCAGTTGTGAAACATCTGAAAAAAAGTATAATTGGACTGAACCGAGGAGGTTACATTTGCTTACTTTCTGTTTGTTTGTTTGGTGGAAGATTGTAGCTCAGATAAAAGAAGTGAAAAGTGTCTCCCACTTTTCCACTGGCACCAAAGACGTGCAATTTAAACCATCTAACACCGCTGTGACAAAATGCCATGCCCAAATATATCAGCTAATAACTCAGGACGTCTGAAGGCTGAATTCAATTGTTTTATTTCAAATGTCATTGGATGTAACAATGTACAGCAAACACAGTGTAGGTGGGCAATAGTTTCCAAGCTTTTTGGCTCGTGACAAATCAAAACAACTTCCACTTGTGACACCTCTTCATCAAGTGTGTTTACCAGCTGTGACTGCTTCAACAGAAGACCACTTAAGAGTCCCACTAATTAAAAATCTTTAGTTATTTGCAAGAAAAATATTTATAGAGGGAATTCATCAATGCATGTATTTTCATAGTTCTAGCAGTCTGTGACAGCTCAACATCAAACAACTTAATTATTAAGCTGCATTGTTTACATTAGGACAAGAGGCCATTTTTGTCTATTGGCTTTTTTGTTTGTGTGTTTCAATTAGCTTAATCACTAAAAAAGCGATCGAAAGCGGTG